GGGGCAATAACAAGTTAGAAGCACCTCAGTAGAAATAGCTGCCTTCCTCTGCTAACACAATGCCAAACTGCCAGTTGTTCTGCTTCTGCCAGCACTATTCACAAGCCATGTGGCTTCAGTCAGAGCTGGGCCCTAGCACACACTGGAAACCACAGTTCAACTCTCCTGTTTGCCAAGGTCCAGACCTCTCCTTTCCCTTTCTCCGACTTGCATGTTGGTTATCCTTAATTGGATTTTTTGCTTTGGTTTCCTTCTTGCACCCCATCCCCTGCAAATGAAGCACAATGGCTCTCCCTCGTTCTTTTGCAGATAGGAGGGCTAAACAGCAGATGGGATCTGCCCAAAATCAAGCATAGACAGAGAAGTTGCCCCTTCCTCGTCAGTCGCATGATCCCATCACCTTCCCAGCCTGCAGGAGCCAGTCCATGCCACTGAGTAGAAAAGGGAGCAGACAGGTCTAGAGAAATTATCTTTTGGCTTCTTTGCCCCTAAGATCCCATAACTTGATCAAGCACGAACCAATGTTAAGGATTCCTCATTCATCCCTCCCTGTGACTGTCTCTCTAAGGCTCTGTAAAATTAGAAGAGACAAATCCCAGCTATACCTGAGGGTTGAGAGAAAAAGGTGTAAAAGGATGGGATGGTGACCCAGGAGACAAGCTCAAAAAACAGGTGGAGTTTCTTCCACCCTAACTTAAAGCTGCCCAAAGGGACAAGATGGCCTGATGTGCTTAGTCAGTGTCCTTTTTATTTTTCTACTCCACATTTATACAAGTTTGTGCTCTTGCAAGCTTTGTTTTTGATACTTTGATGATTGACAGCGTGCATGTGTGATGTCAGGTTTGCTTTTTATTATATCCTTCCCCCTTGCCCCATATGGCAGCAACTGTGGGAAGGTACTGAATGAGAATGAAAACTTAGAAGGCAAAACAAATAAGAAAACTTTTTTTTTTTTTAATTAAATAATATAAACCATAAACCACTGAAAAGGCTTCCTTTTATCCAAACACCTCTATCTGCCTGAGGACACTGGGAACAAGGAAACCATAGCTCTCCAAGGAGCAGCAGTGATCTCAGGAAGCCCACTTGGCTCAGCCACAGGCTTGGTATCTACAGCATGTGAAAAATCAGTTTGAGAAACATACAGCAGGAAAGGACAAGCTGTTCAGCGCTCTGAAACTTGCCTCCTACTTGATCTTTACTTTGCTGGGGGTAATGAGGAAAGCAAGCTTGCAGGTTTGACCTCATTGCCCCAAGAGAGCCCAGCTAAAATGACAGAAGCATGTAACGAGGATAAATACCTGGTTAATCTCCCAGCAGGACGATGCAGAGGCTAAGCTGAAGGCTGTAAGCTCATATGGGCAGGGACCAGCTCTGTTGTATGTTTGTTCCGCATCTAGCACAAAAGGGTTGTCCAGGTGCTACTGCAATACAAAGAATAAACAATACAGTTACTCCAAAAAGTCAGTTTCTTCTATCTTGAGACAGTTTGTTAAAAATCATTTGACTTGGATTTTAAATAAACGTTTTAAATATATTTTAAAGCCACTCGATGTAGAAGTCTTTGGTAAAATCCAAATGGATTAATTCGTTTGCTGTTCACAGGAATCCTCCCCAAGAAGATCAGACAAACTCTTGACCATTTTTTTTTTTTTCAAACAAGAGAGAAAAAACATTTTAACGAAAAGTCCTTTAGATACTATGAGAGTTAACACCAAAATCATCATTAGTGTGGGACTCGTTTCTACTGCACACAGACAAGCAGTGGCAGACCTCAAGTCCCAAGTTACCAAGGGCTGAAGGAACGTTCTTTAATGATGTAGAAAAAAACAGGGATGATTTTCGTATTGCTTCTGTGTGCCATAGAAAACCATTACAATCTAGGGGAAAGGAGATGGAATGTAACTGGAAGTTTGGTAACTTGTTTACAGCAGGCTTCACATTGGCCCCAAAGAAAACTGCTCATAGTAGTGTTGAAAGACAAGTTCGTGAAAGGCAGACCATGCTTCAGATGGGACACTCACAGCATCAGCTTTTTCTCCATGTTCTGCTGCCACTGGGCCTCAGCCTCCCCATATTTGCAGTCTAGCCCAGCACCCTTTCCCCTTCTCCTCACCACATACGACAGACACAGCAGGTGGGGAAACCCCTGGGGAGCTTGATCTGCCTTGTGGTGTCAGAGAGAGACAGAGGCCACCTCATCTATCCCACCTCTGAAACGCAGGGAATATCCTGAGGCAACCCGACTACTGGCACTTGACTCCACTGTGGTCCCTTCGCACTCACTTCCCAGGAGAGATGCTCATGCCACAGCCCCCCATCCTGCCCAAAGCGCAGCATGGTGTGCTCTTAACCACTGAAAACAATAAAATATGCTCAGAAAAGTAGAGAAGCTCAACTAGCTCCTCTCTGTCATTCTCCCTTTTGGAATCCACTGGCTTCAAAGTTCAAAATACTGCTGCAAATTATTCCTAAAGCACGTGCTGTCTTTTCCGTGCCACTTGTGGGGTCGGCATTCACTAGCAAACATGATTTGCACAACCTCATCAATGTGAGTCCGTGGGTAGATTTCCATCACAAACCAACCAGGAAACGTTGGCAATGGAATAATCTGCTCAAGTTTAGGTTGTTAAACAAAAACAATCACATCCCTGTTGGTTTTATGGGAAAAATGGAATGCGAGCTAGATGGGATAGAAAGAAAACACAATGAAATAAGTGGAAAAATGAAAACAAAGGAAGGAAAAGCCGCATCCACCTTTAAAAGGGAACTTCGAAAACCCTGGAAAATAACTGAAAAGGAAGATGTAGCATTTCTGACACATTATTAAGTAATTTCTTAACTCCTCCCCTAGCTACATACATGAAACCCTACGGCTCACTTTCCGCAGACGGAAGGCAGAAACGATCGGCATGAGCCAAGCCGATCCATAACTGCAGTCACCCATGGTTTTACTGCATCCACTGTTATCTTAACGACTCCCTCTCCTGCACCTTCAGCACATTTTGTTAAAGCAAACAGGTTCATGTTCTGAGAACTCCTATGCCAAACCTTCCTGCACACTGAACTGAGTTCCACATCGCTGGATGCGTTCGTGGAAATGCAGACTGACCTCTACAATCACTGAAGTACAGCTGCAACACCCCTCCTGGTGACACCTGTACAGTTTGCTGAGCCAATGCAGGACAATTTGGTTGGCTTCTCTCTTGCTTTGCAGTTTCTGACTATAGCTGGACACCTGGATGTGAAGCCCTCACTGAGAGTCTGAAAAGCAGACTGATAGGATAGGGAATAGAAATCCCAGTCCATGATGAAAACCATGCTACCGTGGCTCACTGCCACAGCAGAAATACCCTGCAGTTTGTCAGGCACACATGGTATCATCTTCTTAAATAATCAGCTTTCTGAAACAGCCACACATGCAAGGGAAAAATAACCCGTTTACGTGCACATGCACCTGTCCTCTCAAACTTACTGAAATCTTATTCCTTTCCCCAGACACTCTCAAGTGCACAACGTCCCTTAGCCCAAGCCAAATGAACCAGCAAGAAGTGAATCAGCAGAGTGTATTTAATTGTCTTACAACAGACACGGTCAGAGTTTAAAGCAATTGACCTATCACATGACATTTTTAGTCCAAATTCCATGGTCAGTCTTACCTGCTATCTATCTATGAATTAAGAAAATTAAAATCAAAATTAACTGGACACTCTACGTATGACTCTTCTGCTCTGCTGAAACATGTTCTCATGTTCAAATCTGTCAGAAGCCAATTATCACAGTCCTTTCCTGTCTCTCCCTAATGACTGCTGAAACACTTGCAATCCTCATGGAAATGCACTATCCTCTTCCCCACCCCTCAACTCATCAGCAGTCCAAAGGTCTGGAGCACAAGGTAAAGCAATATCCAGTAAAG